GTCAAATTTATTTCAAAACAAATTTTTGAAATATGCTTTCTATATCCTTTTAAATTCTGTAAAATCTGTGGTAATGTCTCCTAGGTCTTGATATTTTAATTTTTAAAATGTATAATTGATGTTGTATAATAGGAAGTAAAGGTCTAAAGGAGCAGGGGAAGTGGGAAGGGTAGGGGAAAAGAAGGGCAAAGAAAAAATATGAGAAAAGGAAAAAAATGGAAACAAGGTCTTTGCAAATAGGGAAGGGTGGAGGGGGTGTGAAGGGAGGTCTAGGGAAGGGGAAAAGAACCAATATACCAACCAAGATACCCATGTAATGGTACAAGATCCCAGTGATGTATGTAAATGTATTTTATACCTAAAATATACCAATAAACTTGATGGGAAAAAAAAATTTTTTTTTAAAGTGTTGGGAATGTAGCTCAGTTCAATCAGTAGTACCGCCAAAAGCCAAACAAACAACAACAACAACAAAAAACCCCTGTTAATCCAAATTACATTTCCCCAGGAATTTTCAGGGGTTTTGCTATTGTTTTCTGCGTGTGTGTGTGTGTGTGTGTGTGTGTGTGTGTGTGTGTTAGTTACTGGAGACTTAATCCAGGGCCCTTGCACCAAGCTGCATCCCTAATCCTTTTTATTTTTTATTTTGAAACAAGATCTGGCTAAGTTGCCCAAGCTAGATTTGAACACGGAATCTGCCTGCCTCAGCCTCCCAGAGTTCTGGGATTTGGGTGTGTACCACCATGCCCATCTTCCCCACGAGTCTTTATGTGTAGTCAGAGCAGTGTTTGGCAGATACACTACATGTCTATACACATAAAAGTTTTAACATTGCCTTTTTTAAAAAACGGCATTATGCTGTCTCTGTTATCAAGTGAAACTGGATCATGTTAGAGATCTGAAGTACAGTTGATGATTACCACTTACCACACTTATACTCTGTAAAGTTGGCCTTGCCCTGATGTAGGCAGTACTGATGTAGGCAGGAGTGAATTAGTGCTAGTGGGGCCAATTCATGTTTTGATTTCTGTGAGCCTTTGGTCACATTTCTGTCAACCAATGAGTGCATAACTTATTTTGTGGGTGATTCTGTTTAAAGATATCTTATTCACTACATACTGCTGATTGGTTCACACCAAACTCCTGCCCAAATGGAGCTTCTTCAACCCTTGCTCATGAGGCACAGCACATCCTTCTTTCACTCTGAAGCCTAGACAGCACTTCAGCTGAGGCCATCTTAAGCAGCAGTTGCCAGCAAAAAGCACAAAACTGAAAAACATGACAATAGCATCCATGAAAGGACCCTGAGAACATGTGTCAGGTAACTCAGCCATCCATCCTATACCACCGCTGCATGTACACGGTGTCTGCTAATGCTGTGTAGAGATAGATGCTGATTGGCTTGAGATTACAAATAAATTTTAGCAGGTAAATGAGTTCATAAATACACAATTCAAGGTCAGCTGTACATTTTCAGGTTTAATTTTTTTCTTTGAAATATATTCTGTATACTGCCAGTCATCAGTACTCTAAAGTTGTGTTTTGTTTAACACCTAGGTTAAGTTGAAATACAAGTACAAAGCAAGAATCTTTCTGGAGGAAAGCCTTTCATTTGGAGTTCTTGGGGAGCATGGCCGAGGAGTCACTGAGCACTATGGAATCAGTGTAAGTTCTCAGTGTTGAGGAAGTCTCTGGCCCTGTAGGAAACACTTGCTTCTGTTCTGCTGACAGAATGTTCATAGGCACTAGACAGTGTCCTTTGGAGGGTCGTAAAACTTTGGTGTCTGTCACCTCACAGAATCTAGGACAGATCTAGCTAACCTGACCAGAGGATCCTGTCTTCCCCCTGAAATTTGTGTTCTGTTTACATGAAGTGTTTGGATTTTGACTTTTCATGGTGTTTTGCTTTTTTTTCTAAAACCAGTTAAATTTTGCCTAATATTTATTAAAATAATTTAGAATTCCCTTCATAGTCTTTTGAAAAGTATTGATAGTGGTGAAAAAATTCCTGTATTTAAAATTCTATATTCCATGTAATTTGTTTACGTGTGGGTAAGAGATAATTAGGCCATATATAGGGTGTGTCTATATATGGGTGCACAGAAACACACACGCACATATAATTGGTGTCAGAACCCCAGTGGCGTGGATTCAGCAAAGCCCTTGAACTTGAAGGCCCCAAGCAGTTGGTGTGAGTTTGTCCTGTGTCCTTTTGGTGGAGGAAATGGACCAGAATGGCCCAGGTACCTAGTGGATTGCAGTCCCTGAGGCACAACAGAAGAGTAAATCCTGGCAGTCTCAGGCACCTCACTACCAACCACCACAGGTGCTTTCAAGATGCTTTTCCACCAAAATGTGTACATTGAAATCTTTGTGTTACAAAGTGAACTATAAAATATAAAATCTCTTTCGATTATCTACATCCTAGTACGCATACTGTCCTAGAGGAAAAACATAGTGCAAAGTCAATGCCACATGACTTAGTGGAAGCAGTCATCTAAGATACATTGATATTCAGCAGTTAAATTAATGCAAGCAAATTTAGCAGGACAATGAAGCCATTTTAAGGCATGAAAATTCTTTAAAAATAAAGGTTTACCATTCTAGTTTTCTAAATGCCATCAGCAGTTGTCACGGAGATAATATTCAGGGGGGACTAAAAGTAAGCGTGCAGCATGTAGAGACCTTATTTAGACCTGATGTCCAAATAGATGTTAAAGTTTGTCAGACAGGGATATTTGAACACCGAGTATGTGATGATATTAAGAAATTGTTGACTTTTTTTAGGTGATAATAAATAGTTTTGTGATTGTATTTTTGAAGGAATCCTTATCTTTTAGAAATACACACTGAAACACTATGATGTTTAGGTTTGCTACAGAGAAATGGCAAGGGCACTAGAGGGCTATAGATGAAACAGGGTTGTCCTTGAGTTAATGATGGTTGAATCTGGGTGATGGACATTCTTTATTCTATTTTTTCTGTCTTCGTTAAATGCTTGAGTACAACAGTTTAGGAAGAATACAGATCTTGTTGATCTGTGGAACACTTAGAAACACAGCAGAGGTCACAGCCTTCAGAATGTTCTCGCTGAATGCTTGCTGTGTACTCAAAATAGTACTGGGAGCTAGAGTGGAAGAAGAAGACCAAAGGAGTTCTGAGGAGGTGGGGAGATGTAGGAACTCAGAAACCCATGAAGCATGTTAGGTTCTTCACTGTCTACTTGGTCAAAATTCTGTTGCCATGATGTCTGGATTTTTTAAGTGCTAAAATTTATTTTTATTTATCTCAAGTACATTCTATGGTATAGGCCAGTTAGCCCACTGTTTTAGAGAGGAAATAATAGTATTTTGTACCTCTGCCATTTTCTCTTTCAAACAGCTTTGGATTCCATCCCCCTTTCAATCCAGATGTTACTGCTATTATGAGTTTTGCATTTGTGTCTTTATGCTTCACATTGCCTTTTTTCCCCTTTGAACTCAAGGAATAAGTATTGCTGTCTCCCACTTTTCTGGCAGATTGATGACATTGACCTTATCAGTGCCAGCATGGAGAACTCACTGGCTTCCATTGGCGGTTTCTGCTGCGGCAGGTCTTTCGTAATCGACCACCAGGTACTCCCTTTTCACAAACAAGCAGAATCTGAAACTGATTGCTCCATTGGTCACCTCAGAATTTCACTTCAAAATAAAAAAAATGTTATTATCAATTCACACAATTTTTACTTACAAGTAGATTTTTTTAAACGATTCACCCATTAGAGAAATGCAAATTAAAACAACATTGAGATTCCAGCTTACCCTAGAAAAAAATGACTATTATCAAAAAATCAAATAATAACAAGTACTGAAGAAGCTGCAGGGGGAGAAAGGAACCCTTCTATACTCTTGATGGGAATGTAAGCTAGTGCAGCAACTGTGGAAATCAGTGTGGACGTTCCTGAAAAACCTGAAACTGAAAATTCCATTCAACCCAGCTATTTCTCTTTTAGGTATCTTCCCAAAAGAATTAAAGACATATTACAATTATACATGCACACTTATGTTTATAGCAGTACAAGTCGCAATAGCTAAATCTTGGAAATGACTTATATATCCATCCGCAGATAAGTGGATAAAGAATATGTGGTGTTTGCACACAATGGAGTACTTCTCTGCCATAAAGAAAGATAAACTTGGGCAAGGAATGTAGCTCAGTGGTGCGGCACCTGCCTGGCAAGCACAAGGTCCCGAGTTCAATCCCCAGTGCCAGAAAAAAAAAAGAAAGGAAGGTACACTTGAGTCATTTATAGGAAAATGGATCCACCTTGAGACCAGTCAGACACAGAAGTTTAAATTTTGCCTGGTTTCTCCTGTGTGAGAAATCCTGAGTAAAAATAAAGAGCAAAATAAAAGATAATAGGAGGTATGGAGAGCTTTCTCAAAGAGGAAGGGACTCAGAGATGGAGGGAGGGAAGTAAAAGGGGATGAAAAAAGAAATAAGAGTGTATTACACCAAAAGAAAAAGAGAGGGATCAGGAGATGGGTGGAGGGACAAGGAGGGAAGGGGAAGGAGATTAAAAAAGGAATGAAAATGTGTTACGTATGTGTACCAACTCCCACAAGGAGTGTAAACAGGTACTCTACACATGTCCTAAATAAAGTAAAAATGAAGAACTCAAAATCTTTATCTTTAGAAACTACCTCCCTCATAAGTCTTGTCTTTGTTACCTGTGTAACATTTATCCTTGGCTGGATCTTCCCCTCACCATGTGTGCACACTTCAGTAGGTGCTGTAGAGATTTGGCCGTAGAATGATTCACCCAGAAAGACAAAGAATGTACAGTTTACTTTTCTTGTTTTGTTCTCAGCGACTCTCTGGCCAGGGTTACTGCTTTTCAGCTTCTTTGCCTCCTCTGTTAGCTGCTGCTGCCATTGAGGCCCTCAACATCATGGAAGAGAATCCAGGTATAACCTTTTAAACTCAGGTTTTGTTAACCGTGTTTCTGACTTGCTTTTTGGAGGCATTAGCCAGAGGGAATTATTTACCAGACAAAAACTCTGGCTCTGAATTACAAGTTCATCTTCCCTAATCCCAAAATCCAAAATGCTCCAAACTCCAAAACTTTCTTGAGCATAGACACATTTCAAATTTTAGATTTTCAGATAGGGAAGCTCAGCCTGTAAGGTCTATGCAAATGTTACACAGTCAGAAACTCTGAAACCTGAAATGTTTCTGGTCATCAGCATTTCAGATAAGGGCTACTTACTCATGCCTAGCATAGATGGGAGGAGTGGCAGTGAAGAAACTGCCCTGGCCTTCCTTCCAGGTGTGGGTGAGAGCTTCTGTCTTATGCTTGGAGTTGGCTGCTCCAACAGGCAGAGGTGCCCTGAGGAGGAAGGGCCAGGCCAATGCCAGGCCTACACACTTTGCCTCGTGTAAACAGTCAGTTGTCATTTGGTTTATAGTTTTCTGAATAATTATCTGAAGTATGATGCTTTTGGGTGTGTATAATTTTATACATATTGTTAGTTTTCCCCTTCAGCCTTTGAATCATCAACTGATAATAAGCTAAGTGTAGTTTATCAACGAACAATTTAGTGGGCAAAAAGAAAGTCAACTGAGAATTTAAAATGTGTCATTTGGCTGTAATATCACTGCCTTAAAAGCTTCACACAGAAAAGGAACAGCAGCTCTTACCTGGTATTCCTGAATCCACAGCACTGATAATAATTCAGAGAATCAGAAGATAGGAGTGTGTCCAAGTGCTTACACTCAGGTTCTCATTGTGAGGCAGCCTGGCCCCTCTCTCGTGATGCTCATCTCTCAGATACTTTTTGCTTGAATTTTTCTTGAATAAAAGGAAAATATTTTTTAAAATTACTTTGCTACAATTGATTTTTCAAGAAGTTGTTTAAAATCAAATACTAAGTAGTAGACTTCTCCCCCTTCATTCTTAAACTGGATTATCTATAGAATCTTGGTAAAAATAAGAGCAATTATTTTTCTTGGAAACCACCATCCCAGATTTTGCTAAAAATGGGGTGGCAAAGTGAGAAGAGACCTTAAGTATCAAAAATGAAGCTCAGGCCCCCAGAGAAGTGTGAGTTACTGGCTATCTGTTAGTTTGTGTTATGATTTGCCACATCTTACACTGATAAACTTCCTGGGCCATTACAAATATTTTTAGGTTAGTACTATCACATATTCTATCAAATGTATTCTTTTCCATTCAGATATTTTTGCAGTATTGAAGAAAAAGTGTGAACAGATTCATAAAGCTTTACAAGGGTAAGTGTTCATTTTCAACCAACATGAAGTTTATCAATACCACACTTAAACAATTAAGAAGAGCTTACTTTTGTTAGGTTTGGGTCTGTTTAGATCACCCAACAGCTAAGAAACCAAAATTCAGTCCACTCAGCTTTCTTTGTGTAAAATTAGTACACCTGTTTTGTTGTTTTAAAGAATTGTGCCTTTGCTTTTCTAAAAATTAAACAACTTACTGATAAAACATAGCAACAAAGAAGTTAAAAATAACAACCCAACATCTTCCCACAAGAAATAACCAGGGTAAATATTGGACCAGCTCTCCACATCACCTCAGGTACAAGGATATAATTAGATACTAAGTCATTGGATGGCATTAGGTTCCTACTATCTGTGTTACTTTTTAGTAAATTAAGTTTTCAGTTGAGGTGTGAAAAAGAGTAGAATTGAAGTGAATCTTAATGAATGTTTCTTTTTTTTAAATTACATGAGAGTGTTTTTTAAAGATTCCTCTAGAGTTGAAAGAAAAAATAGACGTTGGTGACATCTTCAGGCCAATTTCTAGTCTACTAGGAAATGATCTCACATTGCCTGAGACATTTTGTTTTTGCTTTCTAAAGTGAAACATGCCTCTTGATTGTTAGAAATTCTACCTTCATTGCAAGATAGGGAAAGAAAAGGGCAATTAATAAATGGAAAAGTTAGTTGTTCCAGATAAAGGAAAGGTAGAGACAGTTACAGCTCTGAGCGTGTCTACAGTGTGGTAACAGAAGTTCTTGCGTGATTTATATAAAAGATATACTTATATGGTTCCCCTGGCCTTGGTTTGTGAAATATTAATATCCTAACTCACTGTACATTCATCACGTTCAGATGCCCTTCTGAAGTCCCATCCTCCTCCTTCACTAGCTCTGACACCTCTTCTAAAATCTCTAGCCCTATCTTTGTTCCACCCACATTCAGCAGATAGCCTCACTTCATTCTGTCACTTGAAAACTCTCCTGTTTTTCCTAACAAATCTACACAACTATAGGAAACTGAACAGTCTTCCCTCTGCTATAGCCAAAAAAAAAAAATCCTCTAGCTCTTAAGAAACCCTTCTTCCTTCTTAAGGACTAAGCACCTTTGCTTGTCTCCTTTGCTTTGTCATTAGTTCCTCCACTTTCTGAGTCATTTCAGTAGCCTTTAAGTCCTCTGTACCAAATTTTCTTTTATCGTCTTGCTAATGATCCACTTTCCTCTTTAGCAACTACCCCACTTCTTTGCCTCTGTTTGTCAGTGGTCCTCTCAAGAGTTATATGTTTTCTCCACACCCTCATGTCTCCCTTCCACTAGAATTTACTGAGATCTGGCTTCGTTATACTTCACCCAGACTGCTGTATGAAGGTTCCCAGTGATTCCCATGGTGCTAAATTTAGTTCATATTATTAATGTCTTAGTCATGTCCAGCATAGGTGACTACTGTTTCCCCCTTTAGATTCTACCACACTAAATTTGTGAGCTTCCTTCTACATCTTTGAATTATTTATCTTTGTCTTCTTTGAAGGCTTTCTTCAACATCATGTTCTTTAGGGCTTAGTCCTTGGTCATCTTTTCCTATTGCCTTCTTGGGAAATTGCCTTCTTCCACACCTAAAGCTTTAGATTGTTCCGTGACCCCTAAATGTGGACAACTCACAGATTCATGTCTCAGCTCTGTGCCACACTTCAGGACTTCTGGCCTTATATCCAGTTCCATACTCAGTAGCTTCCTTTGCAGGACCCCAGAGGTATGTCATACTAAACACTGAAGAGTTGTGAAATGGGACCACAAAGGAAGCAGCAAGGAGCCCAGTGTGAGTGAGAAACCTAGTGGAAGGTGAGGGTCAGGTAACCAGCATGTAAGCGTGATGGGATCTTCAGTCAGATGGAAAACCATGGCTTGGTGTTAAACAAAAAGGTGGTATGGGGCCAGGGATTTAGCTCAGTGGTTCTGCCGCCTGCCTCGCAAGCTCAAGGTCCCAAATTCCATCCCAGGTACCCAAAACAAAAACAAAAAGGTGGCGTGGCACAGCTGGCTTTAAGTCTCAGAAAGATTACTCTGTGTGGTGTAAAATGACACACTGTACAGCATTAAGAACAGAAGCAAGGGAACTAATGAGATGAATGCAAGCAAAAGATGGTGGTAAATTTGACCTTTGAAGTAGCAGTGAGAAGTGTTTGGATTCTGGATATATTTTAGAAGGAGAGCCAGCTAAGTCGGCCAGAAGTTCCTATGCAGGGTGAAAGAGAAGACTCAAAATTTTGATTGGAGCACCTAGTGAGGGAGTGGATAGGCCTAAGAAGGACTCCGCTAGTGAGGAAGTCAGTGCTGCCTGTGCTAAAGTGGACACACCCATTGAGGATCCAGGGCATTGCAGCTGGGGGATACAGGTGTAAGTTGGAGAAAAGTCTTTTTGAGTCACGTAGATTGTATTTAAAGCATTTTGATGTGAAGTCATCAAGAACCAACCAAGGAGATTGAAGAAGGAGTGGCCAGTGAGGAAGAGGTGGATCAGAAGAGTCCTGTCAGCAGGTGAAGAAGGCAGCTGCATAGGTCAGCATGTGGTGTGCTGCTTCCCGTGGGCCAGGCATGGTAACTGAACATCCTTCCTTTGATTCAGAATGTGGAGTTTATTTTGACTGGAACACTTGCAGGGGATCAGGAGAGACAGAGTGCCTGATCAAGTGGGCTGGAGAGAGCCTGGGAAGAAGAGAATTAGGTACAGCTTAGATAACTCTTTTGAGGAGTTTCCATTAAGAGGAACAGAGAAATGGAGTGGTGGCTAGGGGAAGAAATTGAAATCAAGAAGAAAGGGAGATCAGTTTGCAGATAACATCCACAAGCCATAGGTCTCTTCTAGCCTGTTGGGCTGTCTCCATGGCTGCCGCTTTCTCTTTTGTACATGGCCTGTTTCTGAACCATTTCTTCCGTCTCATTGGTGCCTGTATTTGTGCAGATCTCCAAAGCTCTTGTTAGAATATTTGCATTTATGTCTGTGTTGGTTTTGAAATACATACAGGTTCCTTCAAAATTGTTACTAGCAATTTAATTGGAATTAAATTCTCTGATTGTGTTAATGTGGAGGGAATTATCACCCATGAACATGATCTATTTTAATTTTCTTTCGTGTGTTTTTTTGAGGGGTGGTGGTTGTGGTTGTTGTTGTTGTTGTTGTTTGCGTAGTTCTGGGAATCCAGCCCAAGATCTCATGCATAATAGGCAACTATTATAACTATAACTGTTGTAACTATAACTATAACTGAGCTATATCCCAGCTCCTCTGTGTTCTTTGGTGGAATTTAAATATTTTCTCTGGAAAGTCCTTGTGCCTTTATGGAGCCTCTGAAGGAAATTTCTTGTCCTATCAGTTTTGTTGCCATTGTAAATGGGGCTGTGTTTTATATTTTTTTACTTGATTAATTTCAGTAGTTTGTTTTATTCAGGTACAGTGATGTGCAAAGAAGTCCTGTCATCAGCAATAAGGGTTTTCTTCCCTTCCCAGTCCATTCGTGTGTGTGTGTGTGTGTAATTTTTTTCTTTAATTGCTTTGGTGTGGCTTCTAACACATTATTGAGCAGTGGCAGTAATAGCAGTCTTATTCTCGCTAAAGAAGCATTTTTTTCATTATGTATAAAACATTGTAGTATAGGTTTTTGGTTATTGGCCTTTACCAGATTATTACTAGATTTCAAGGTTTGTTACTTTTAATCATAAATGGATTTTGAACTGTATCAAATACTTTTCATATGTATTAAGATCATAGCTTTATCTCATGGCTGAATTATATGGATTTATTGCCAATGTTAAACTGTCATTGTATTCCTGAGAAAGCCCTTACTTGACTACAGGATAGTTTTCTGCAGTTAGATTTAGTTAGCTAATACTTTAATTTGAATTTTTATATCTTTATTTATAATTTAAATGGGCCTGTAATGTTTGCTATGATATGGTAGCTTCAATACATGATTTGGACATTTTCCACCTTTTTTATAGTACTGGAGATTGAACCCAGAGTCTTTGCACTGCACTACATCAGCCCTTTTTTATTTTTTATTTTGAAACAGGGTCTTGCTAAGTCTCTTGAGATCCCCAGGCTGGGCTTGAACTTGAAATCCTCCTGCCTCAACCTCCCAGAGTACTGGGATGACAGGCATGTACCACTATGCCCAATTCATTTTCTACTCTTTGTACTTCAGGGAGCTTTTGCATAAGGCAAGGCATGATTGTTAGTTTCTTCAGAGTTAGGAGGCCCTCCACCCTTTAAGGATATCTAGGCCTGAGATGCCTGGGCTTGGGAATAGTGTGTCATTATCTCTCATATCTTTGTTTTCCCTTTTTATTTTTGTTTGTATTCTGTTTTCCATTTTTAGGATCTTTCCAGGATTTTTCATAGCACTTTGGGTTTTTCTTTTGAGGTGTATGTGCATGTATTTTTCTATTTTATATATTATATGTACTTCATATAATACATATAAATATATTATTTATATATATTATGTTAATATGTTTTATTTATATTTTGAGATGTGTATTTTTATACATTCTTGTTTCATTGCTTTATGTTCTTACTCTTCTCCTTCTTACATTTAGCTTCTATTTTGTACTTTCCCATAAATACAATTGAACATTTTCAGAAGTAGTGCCTTCAGTGTTCAGGTTGAAGTTTTCTTTTAATTTCTATGATCAGTGATTCACTTCTCCATCACTGAAATTGAGTTTGGAAACAGCACCCCCTGCTGGGTTGTGTGGGTGTCAGAACCATGACAGTCCCCACCTCATCATGGAGGTAGTGATTGGCATCAAGCTTCCCTGGACCCTGTGCATACAGTGGACGCCATGGCTGCCTAGCTTGGATAAAATGATAAAATTGCCAACTGTTTTGTCAAAGAATATGTTATAGGCTCTGAAACACAGCTTCTCTATTTCTGAACTTGAACTACAATTCATTCTCTTGCTTTTAGTTAAATTGATATGACTGTCAGCATCCAGCAGCAAGGCCAGGGTGCTTTATTTTATTCCTTCTCCCACCAGCCTACCCTACCTACCAGGAGCTGAGCCCATTTGATTAAATTCAAGTCAGTCTAGGGCTTCAAGAGCTTCCTGTGTGTAAAGGAGAAGCCAGGCCATTGATTCATTTGAATTATTTAAGCTTTCCTCTGAGAAAACATGACCTAAGAAAATTGATAATTCAAAATTCATATAGGAAATGGGTTTTGAAAGCATATTGCATAGTTTATACATTTGGAACTGTGGTAGCAAACCTTTTAGAGATGAGTGCCCAAACTGCAACCCAAAACTCATCTATTGCAAAGTGCCAACACTGCAATTAAACTTGAATACTGAGATTTGAGTTTTCAGAAAACAACTCTAGACATTAACATCTTTTGTCGTAAAAGCAAATACCACATGTGCCATAGGTTCTCGTGCTTAATCTACCAGTTTCCTCCACATTCCAGATGCCCTTGATGCTAAGATTCTGTGACTCAGACCTGCAGTCTGATTTTTTGAGAGCCCCTGACATGATGTATCACAATGTAAAAAAAGACATAAATTGTTAATTTGAAAACCGTAAAATTAGTTCTGGCACCTTAGTTGCATTGAAAGCCTTCTCTCACTATACGAAAAGGCAGTTAACTGAGAGACATAAAAGGTTTGTTTTGGCTTGAGATTTTGGAGGTTTCAGTCATTGATCAAGTAGCTATATTCTTTGGGCCTCTGGCAAGGCAGGAGTGCATGGCAGAGCAAACCACCCCCCTCATGAGCCAGGAAATGGAGGGAAAGAAAGAGACCAAGGTCCCACAGTCCCCTTCTGGGGCGTGCCCCAGTGACAGAACTCCCCTACCACTGTATGTCCCAAGGGTCCATAGCACCTCCCATTAATGCTCCCTTGGGACCAAGCAGCTAACACATGGGACCTAGGGACAGTCAGCCAAACCAGAGCAGTAGTCGTTCTGTAAAAGCTTAGAAAATTCAAATATGATACCTGGTGTTTTTATGGCCATTTCCTTCTAAGGGAAAAATAAATTCTAAGTAAGCTCAATGAAAACAATCCAAAATGTTTAGCCTAATTTCAGATAAACATGTATTGCCATTTGTTTTCCTAAGAGATAGGCCAAAAATCAAATACTGTTTTTTATTGTAGGGTAAAAATAGACTTTAAGTGAAACCTGACTAAATAGGGCACAGAGTTCTCATGACATCTATAAAAATCATTTTAAGATAGAAAATTTTACCTTGAAAGAAATGTGTCTTCCTCCCTGATAAGGGACAGATTTTTGTGCTGTTATTCCTAAGAAAGAAGAAAATCTTAATCTAAGTAAAATTTAAAATAAATTATGCAAATAAGAGAATTTTTTAATATAAATGTTTTTCTGGAGTCTAAACCTAATGTTATTAATGTGAAAAATCACTTCTGTAATTTTTCAGAGACAAAATACATACTAAAGATTAAAATAATAAGTGAGGAAGCATAACATTCTAAATTTTAGTAAGTAGTCTATGAAGAAATCAAATGGGATAAATAATAGGAATTGAAGGAGCAGACTCTTTCCTGAAGTAGTGACATGCCTGTGCAGCCCTAACTGGAGCCAGAAGACAGCTGAGCAGATCAGCTAGGAGATGATGGGACCAAGGCCCAGGTCCAAGGAGGCCTGGGGGAGATGTACAGATGGAGCAGGGAGCAACCATGCAGACTCCCCATGGGAGTCAGAAGGCAGAAGGTCACAATGTCCTACCAAGAGCAGGAAGGCTTCCTCCCATTTTCCTGGCCTGGGAAGCACCCCTCAGAGCACACAGTTTACCTCTTTCCGTCAGAATTGGAATTCCACTACATGGTGCTCCCACCAGTCACCAGTTGTGCTCCCTTCTGTTTCAGAGTCACTTCTGTGAGATTCTTTAAGCCTGGAAGGGATTCATGTGTGTGTGTGTGTTTCCTTCCTCAGCATTTCTGGGTTGAAAGTGGTGGGGGAGTGCTTTTCTCCAGCGTTTCACCTACAACTGAAAGACAGTACTGGGTCTCGAGAGGCAGATGTGAAACTACTTCAGGAAATCATAAATCAGGTAAGCATTCAGTTACTCAAGTGAGCCTCTCCACACCTCTTCCTCCCACGCCCCTAGAAGATTTTGCTGTCATTTTTCAGATTTACCCGAGAGATAGGTTAGGATGGCAGTTGTTGGACACCACACTCATGATGTAGGCCTGTTCTGGTGCTGTTGGCCCTTCCTTGCTGCCTCTCCCTGGTTCAGAGGGTGCTCTAGGGACAGGCTGTGGGTGCCCCCTCCCACGGGGCCAGTTCTACTCCCACCAAAGTACCTGTGTTCAGGGCCACACTGCATTTAGATGTACTTCCCATCATACAGTAGTTAGCCATGTAAACAACTCATTTATACACTGTTTGCACAGCCAAGCTCTGAGACATGCAACGGGGAGGCATATTTGTGCAGCTCACCAGGCAGGACATCTGCTGACACAAGTGAGCCCCCAACACAGCTTGGCAACAACCATTAATTGTCATCGGAAGTCATAATGCTCCTGTAATTAAGAAAGAAGGAATACCCAATAACACACTTAACTTGGGAAAGGTGTTTAAATTCTTTGTCGTCTGAAATTCATTTTACTACTAAGTACAACTGAGTTGTTGACAAGCTACACATCACTAGGGCAAAAGCCTCTTGCCCTGACCTGAGCAGCACCTCTCCAGAGCCTCCCTCCTTCCTTTGCTCTGGCTCTTCCTCCTGGTAAGGAGGGTCTGAGGTACTGAGCAGCTTGGTGGGGGGTACTTTGCACTGAGCTATATCTCCAGCCCTATTATTTTTTATTTTGAGACAGTCTTTCTAAGTCACTGGGTTGCTTAGACTGGACTCAAACTTCTAGTCCTCTAGCCTTAGCTGCCAGAGTGCTGAGGTTACAGGTGTGTACCCCCACACCTGCTGTAGTATGCCTTTGAGGATGACAATAAGTTGCATTCTGCTTCTTTGTCCTGCTGAAGTTCCATCCCCAAAATCCTCCCCTGAGGCAGTGCTGCCAGTCACCCTGAGTGGCAGTCATCTGATGACTGCCACCTATCATTTGCCTTTTTCTGGGCCAGGCCCAATACCAGCCTTCCTCCATCTGTGTGATATCTCACACAGGTGCTTGCCAGTCACATACCTCCTCAGTATGCCCACCAAGCTGTGAGAGCCGCTGTGGCTGCACAGCTCCCTTGTCCTCCATCCTATAGTGTCTTAACTACATAATCTGGAATGATGGGTTCATGGAGGACTGCACACAATATGTGGCCCTTTGGGGCCAGCTGTATTAAAAAACAAAAATAAAAACAGCATCTGAGATTCCTGATTAAGAAACGTTCTCAGAGTGTGTATGGTCAGGTTGGCTGGCCTTAGCTTGCTGAATATCCCCTCAAGTTCAGCTCTGCAGACCTGCAGAAACAGAGGGCCCATTACAGAAGAGAAGCATCCCGCTCCCCTGTTGACTGGCCTGGTGTTTTTACTGTAATATTACTGCAGTATAAACGGACACAAAAATAAGTTGTGACTCAAGTTCTTAGACAACAGTGGTAAAACCAAAACAATTTAGGTTCGGTGCAAACCAGGCAGACAAGGCAGTAGACGTCAGACTCCACACGGTACATGTGACAGGTGAGTTTGGTGTTTTCAACAGAATTGCACTCATTTGCAGGACTGAGGTTGACAGCCACAGAATGGCCTTGGTGAGGTTCGTGTGCTTGTGTTGAATCCCTCAAGGGGACTCTGTCCTCCCTCAGTCCACCTCAGGCTAATTGTCTGCACGTGGTTCTATGATGTGACACTGGTGTGATGCTGGCCTTTTCTAGATGCCAGTGTGACTGCTCCATATTAAATCCTCTTGTTCCTTCAGTCACAGTAGTTAAACTGCTCTTTTCCAAAGACAGACTTGGGGGCTCTTGTGCACAAGATGACTTGACATCAACACGTTATGCTTATACAGATTACCCACAGCACCAAAAGAGCAGATGAATGAACATGGGCAGCTCCCAGATCCCAAGCTTCTATATGTAGGCTGTGTGATGCTGGCTATCTTAGGGAATTATGTTGAGTGTTAAGTGAGAATAGTCTAAGACAGGGAACAAAATACTATCTGGAAACCTCATTTATAGGAAGAAAACAGAAAGATAGGTCTACAGCTTCTTTGTATCACCATCACGTCCATCTTCAAAATTCTTACAGTCTTTTATCCTGCTTCCATTTTTCTTATTTGGAGAGAAAAGAATCACAGCAACTCTAGTTATACTTTATAGAACCAAGAGCTTTGCCACGTTTATGTTGAGTTGCTCAACAGGATACTGTTTTCACAGACTAAGCTCTGGTTTGGACTGTCTGTTACCTAGCCAGGGCCAGATAGAGCCAGGTCAGATGTCCTGAGGCCTCAGGCCACCAGTTGTACTTCCTGAGAGAGGCTCAGCAAGAGACTTTGTGCCATCCCTCCCTTACAGCGTGGTCCTTTGGGCAGATAATTTTACTGCGAGGTATTTGGAATGATCTTTTCTTTATACTACCTTCCCCTTGCTCTGTAAAATTTCACCCGTTTGGAAGTAAAACAAGTATATTCCCAAAGTTCTGCAACCATTACTGTTTAACTGCAGAATGTTTCCATTGCTGCAAAAGGAAACCTTTGTAACATATTCACTCTAGTTTTTGTGCTTTCTTTATTTTAATAGAGAATATTTTAACAACAAAATAATTTTTGACAGGTGATTAATATCCAGGCAAGCTGTAAAAAAGCTGTATTAACAGCAGTGCCTGGTAGCACCTTGCCCAAATGGAAGATAGGGACATAGTCATTTCTGTATATATTTGAAGTCCAGCAGTTTCTCCCTGACACAGTCCTGGTGGTGTTCTCAAGCCTAGCTCTTGGTTGTCCCTTAGAGATTTGCTCATACTGCTTCCCTGGGTTGGTATTAAACTTTCTCTGAATGGCAGCCTCAGCTACCTATGGCTCTGGAAACTCACTGAATAAAAGTATGTAAAATTAAGACACACAGCCTTGCAAGAACTTGAGCCATTTGTGCAAGTGCTTGGGAGCCACACAAGTTCATGGTGACCATGCCGATGCTGCAGTATGAGTACACCCATTGTTGCAGAAAGCTCTGTGGAGAATGAGTGCTGCTGAAGATAAAGTTGTGGTGGGCCAGGGATTTAGCTCAGTGGTTCCGATGCCTGCCTCACAAGCACAAGGTCCTGAGTTTGATCCCCAGTACCAAAAAAAGAAAAAGATAAAGTTGTGGTATTTCAGTTTTGTCTCCTAGCAGTTATAATTGAAATTAACCACTGATGAAGGGCTTTCCAGGTACCTTTCCAATTTAACTACCAAGGTCTGAAATCCAGGCGACTGATGTTTTCCTTTTTCTCCCTACAGTGCATGAACAAAAGTATTGCATTAACTCAGGCGCGCTACTTGGAGAAAGAAGAGAAATTCCTTCCTCCTCCCAGGTTGGTTGACATTAAAATAGGACCTCACTTTTCTTCTCTTCTTTAAACTCCGTATGAAAGTTTTGAAAATCCCTGAGTGACTTAACAAGACAAGGAAGAGTGTCCTTAAAATACAGCACACTACAAGTTCTTAAAGCAGATGTTTTTAAATTTTAACTGAAAAATACCTTAAGACTCGGGACGGAATATCTTCCCAGTTAACAGAGAAATATGTGGGATCCCAAGAATGAAGTTGGGCAAACAGGTTCCAGCCAGCTAATATCTACTATGTCCAAGGGCAGGTTATGCTGTGCCCACAGCTCCAGCAACAAGGACAGTCCTGCCCGGAAGGGACGGATTTTCGGTCAGAGTGCATACGTACATCACCCAGTAGACACCACCACACCTTGGGAAAGCAAAGCAAAGGTGGGGAGGGTCCACAGCCCTCACGCACACTCACAGTTAAAGGTCAGGAAAAACACTCAAGCCATAGCCATGGGTCACATCACAAAAAGAGGTACAGTCAGCTCTGTCCTGAGATGTCACTAAGGTTTCTGAAAGCAAGTGATGCCCTGTGGCTGAAGAAATAAGCTCAGACAACCCCAGCTTCAGCAGTTCTCTTAGGATTGCATATCTACCGTGGTGTGAAATCACATCCACACAGCATTTTGTTTTGCACTTTCAGGACAGTATCTAATAAATTGCACAAAATATTCAATACTTTGTTATAAAATAGACTTTGTGTGAGATGCTTTTTCCCATCTCTAGACTAGCATAAGTGTTCTGGGCACATTTAAAGGAGAATAGATGCCACTGTGAGTTTGATAGATTAGGGGCAGTGTTCTCATAGGATGGCTTTGTCGAAATAAGAGCCCATCGTGAGTTCAGGAGTGTATTTGCCTGTGTCCATCAGGCAGTTGGTAGGCCTTGTAGCCCTTCAGCAGATGAGTGGTATAAGGTTTTCCCAGGTACATCTTAAACCCCAGAGCATAAGCCACAGAGGGGCTGAGGAGACACAGGAAAACCCTGAAGAGTCTGAATGCCCTGCAGATGCAGACAGCCAGGCTTGGGTAGGGAGGCCATTCAAGCAGCAGCTCGAAGCTCTGTGCCTCCGTTTTTACCAAGCTTACCTAGGTACCCAGGCCCGTATGTATTTACCGGTGAAGATGCCAAGACAGAAGCCAATCTTCGTCAGTAGCCTTGATGCTCCACACAAGGTATACTCGGTAAATACGTCTACTGGGTGAAGCAGATGTTTACAAAGGAAGGTGAAGCCCATTTCTTTTGTTGAGGTGGAGGGTGCTTTGGATTGAACCCCAGGCCTTCTCACTAAGCAGTATCTCCAGCTGTTACTTGTTTTAGATACAGGATCTCACTAATCACTTAGTTGCTCAGGCTGTGCTAAGTTACTTCACCCTCCTAAGATTACAGTGTGTTTGACTGTACCTAACAAACTCATTTCTTTAAGTTCATGAAAACCTGAAAATGTCTGCCTTGCCTCAAAGTGTTGGAGGACATCCTACATTGCTTATTGAATTGTGAATATGAAGAACAACCACTTATCAGTTTGAGAAATATTGGGTTCCTGCTCTGTGCCTGGTGCTGCTTTCAACAGTTGATTATTGATTGACTTGGCCTCCACAGCAGAGCCCATAGCAGGTCACCCTGAATATATACATACTAAGGTATAAGTCAAAGGCCACCCATCTGTGCCAGTGCCCAGACAGTAAGTGTATGAGACTTGGAGGTCCTCAAGTCCTTGTCACAGCTGTTCACCTCTCCATGGTAAATGAGAATGTACTGTAGCTGCAGACAGGATGTAGTAAGTGAGGTGAGTACCAGCAGATCATTACTTATGTAAACAAATGGCAGTGACTGCTGGATTTGGCTCCCTGGCCATAGGTGGCTGACCTTTGTTATAGGCTCTCATTAGATTTTTTGATGTCCTTTGTTATTTTCAGCATCAGAGTTGTGGTCACAGTGGAACAGACAAAGGAAGAGCTGGAGAGAGCTGCATCCACCATCAAGGAAGTAGCACAGGCTGTCCTGCTGTAGGCTGAACCCAGCACCCAGCGGACCCTGCCATGAACACGCAGACGGGACTCCTTGGAGATACGTCAGGAGAACTCAGTGACGTCGGGTGGGATTTTTACCAAGCGATGTGGAAATAGGCCAAATGTGTGACTGAGAAAAGGATAGATGTTTATTATTTTTAGAAGGAAATACATCTAGAAGCCCAGGAACTAATTTTTCTACAAGGAAGACTAATGATAACACTTAACTTAGTATTTAATTTGTTCTATTTAGTACTGTTTAAATGTTTTATTATAGTACACTCTTTTATATTATTCTTGTTGTTTAAAACTGGAGCTTTAGTTTCTCTCCCTTGTGTGGTAATGACTATAAGCATACCTTAATATTTCATAAAAAAGACTTTACAGTAATTAATGCTAACAGGAACACTTTATATGTGATACAGTTTACCACTGAAGATGTAATTCAGCCACGTCTTTTCCATTCTTCGTCGTGTAAAGCTAAATGGTGGCTGACAGGCACAGGAACACTTTGTGTAATTATTATAAATTTTATTATATTTGGACCCCAGAATTTTATATACACTAGATACTGATAAACCATTTCTAATCTGAGCATCCCTAATGAGAGAATATTTGTTCTATTTCCTAAATGGGCAATAATTTAAATCAGCACTTATTTTAATACAAATATTGACCTTTACATTTATTATGTTTTGTCATCTAATTTGTTAAACGAAGAGAGTTATTGTGTTGATCCAAAAATAGAAATCATGTCCTAGATATTGTAAAATGTCTCAAATGTGTTGCTTTTGTTTGTATATTGGTTTTGCTAGGGACATAAAACTATAGGCTTTTTATAAACTGAGAAAAATGAGAACTTTTTCATTTATGAGTTCCACATATCTAAGAAAAATGTGACAGCTTTAAAAATAAATTCTTAAGTTGTACTGTAGCTGTTTTTTCTTTAGCAAACCAAGTTAAGTGATACAAAGTTTTGTGATATGTACTACAAAATAGTACGTAAATATTTCATCTTCTCTTATTTAAAAAGTAAAGGAATAAAATTGTAAAACAAATATCATTTTATAATCTGTTCATAATAACAACTGGTCTTCAATATCTTTGTAAATAATACATAATTTTTTAATATTTAATTTCTATTTTGCTTGAGGGATTTCATACAAATATGCCTTGTGATTGCTGCTGCTTCTTTAAAGGATACAATACTGTCTGGGGGTGAATGTTTTGTTTTTTAATGAAATAAACCTGCATTCCTGATGATCAGTCTGTTTGTGTAAGTAGTGTCCAACAGTATGATCTCTTAATTTTAAAACTTTTTGCAAACTTACAACAATATTTCTTTTTGCATGTGCTTTTGTTTTATTTTAGGAAATCATTTCCCAATCCCTTTCTTTATATCTGTTGTGGCTGGAACCTGAAATGGTCCCCAAAGGCTCATGTTGAATACTTCATCCTAATGCATCAGTGATATTCAGAGGTGAGGCTTTGGGAAGGTGATTGGATCATGAGGCTTCTGACTTCATCAGTGGATTAACCATTAGACTACCTTGAAATTTCTTATGCCAGATTAATAAATCTGTCACCCTCAATCTTAGTTTCAGGCAAAGTCTCTGTACACAAGCAAAATGCAGACAAACTTTCTGCCAAGCCATAACACACGTCATCTGGAGTCTAGCAGCCAATGCAGTCCTTCCTCCCACCAGAAACCTCCTTAGCCTGGTCTTTGATGGCAGAATTTCAGTCAGCACTGCGGTCCTCTGAGCACTGACCAGAATCTCCCATCAAGTACAGCCTCAAGCGTTCTAGCTGTACTTTTTCAGCCAGCCTTTCTGAACCTTTCCAAACTTCCCACGAGTCAGTCCCAAAGGCTCCTGAACTGTATAGTCAGGTATAGTCACAGCAACAACCCTACTTCTCTTGATACCAAATTGTCTTAGTTACTTTTCTCTCATTGCTGAGACAAAACACCCAACACCCAAAGTTAAAGGAGGAAAGGTTTTTTAGCTCACAATTCATAGAGGTGTCAGCTCATAATTGGCTTGTCCAAGGTACAGCGGCATGGCAGAGAGGCATCACAGATGAGAAATAGTCCCACCGCAAGCAGGCAGGTAAGAGCAAGCAAGGGGCAACAGTTCATGGCGGAATAGGCCTTAACAGCATCTTTCTGCCCCTTTATCTAATCCAGATTTAGGGTGGGTAGCTCTCAACACCCTTAATCCTAGTACCCTTGAGCCTAGCATTGCACCATGAATCAGTCACACACTCTAGATTCAGCCATCTTTGAAAAAATCCCACCTGTGACTGCATGGGGCTTTGAGGGGACAGCTAGACATAAACCATAGCACACAACATTTTAGATAAAAAGAACCAAAGATAGTGTCTTTGTATTAAAATTAGAGTGACCAGAATCCAGTAACACACCACAAAAAGCATATACTGCTAAAAACATTGACATCGTGTTTCTAAGGCATAATGGTGAACTAAGGCATAATGCTGAACAAAGGTCATCTCACATCTGCAGCAGGTTACACATTTCTCTTTTTCAAAGTGAGAAGGGCTCTAACATGTCTCATCAATGATTTTGCATTTCAAAAGGGAGTGGCTGGGGAATGGTATGGAAACCATTTGTAACCCATTCCCACTCAACACAGTTGCCCACAGGTAAGAGGGAGCTACATGATTGCTCTTTGTTTTTATCATCTACAGCTAGATTCCAACTCATGAAAAGCAGAGTTTTGAGGCACATCTTTTCATCACATTTGGAACTTCACTAATTGTACCTTGTGCACTTGGTTTATGTTCTTCTAAATGAAACAACTGTTTTATGTAATAAGCCACCAGTTGTAAGAGACTTCGTAATCAGAGATGTGATAGGTAGAAAAGGTGCATTTTTAAATTATGAAATAAGACAAAAAAATCTAATGTGTGAGCCTGATAACCGTCCTTTTTTGGTGGACATAAAACCTTGGTCCAGAAGCAGATATGTCCAAGAAAAATTGTGACCACCTAAATCCAAGTATCTCCACCACCACCACCCCCAAAAAATCACCAACCTAATAATGACATCAAATGAAAATACCCCTAACCCACAGCTGCATGGTCCACCTCTAGAACCATCTGTTTTCTAGATGGATTACTAGAGGATTACTGAAACAGATAAAGTAAGTCATCTCAACAGCAGCATATGAGGAAAACAAGTAGTGTTTTCCAGCGATTCCTACGGAAAAAGAAGTGTGAAGTGTTTTCAAGGAAAGGCATATTTCAAGCAACGAAGTTACAGAAAAACAATGTAAACATGGAGCTCAATGTTGTATGAAGCATCTGCTAGGAAACATCAAGAGATGAGATTTCACCGAAGAGCTGTTGAACAGTGAATAATTAGATATTAAGACTAGAGTGAAAGATAATGTGGAGAATTAATGTGTAAATGGTACCTAATCTGACAAAGTAGAAATGATGCTAATTACTGGAAGATGGGAGAAAGATGGTAGAAAGCCACAGCAGACCTATTAATTCAGCTAATAGGTAGAATACAAGGACATCAAATAGAAGTGAATGGAAATGTTAAGAAATTAAACAACATTAAGGAGTTTTTATTTATTTTTAATTAAATTCTTTTATTGGTACATTGTAGGTATACAACACAATTACATTTCTCATTGGGAATTGTAACTTTACATAATGCATCTT